CGCCAGCTCCAGTCCGGCCCCCACAATGGCTCAGCCGTCGCCGGCTCCATTCCTGCCTGAGTCCGGCCCTCACAGGGGCTCCGCCGTCGCCGGCTCCAGTCCAGCCCGAGTGCGATCACCAGGGGGGCTCCGCCGTCGCCGACTCCTCTCCTGCCCTAGTCCGTCCCCCACAGTGGCTCCGCCGTCGCCGGCTCCACTCCGGCCCGAGTCCGGCCCCCAGAGGGGCTCAGTCGTCGACGGCTCCACTCCGGCCCCCACAGTGGCTCAGCCGTCCCCGGCTCCACTCCGGCCCGAGTCCGGCCCCCACAGTGCCTTAGCCGTCGCCGGCTCCACTCCGGCCCGAGTCCGACCCCCACAGTGGCTCAGCCATCGCCGGCTCCAGAGAGGCCACCAGGGGGGCTCCGCCGTCGCCGGCTCCATTCCTGCCCGAGTCCGGCCACCAGAGATGCTCCGCCGTCCCCGGCTCCACTCCGGCCCGAGTCCGGCCCCCACAGTGGCTCAGCCGTCGCCGTCTCCTCTCCTGCCCGAGTCCGTCCCCCACAGTGGCTCAGCCGCCGCCGGCTCCAGTCCGGACCGAGTCCGGCCCCCAGAGGGGCTCAGCCGTCGCCGGCTCCCAGAGGGAACCCGCCTCAGCCGTCGCCGGCTCCAGTCCGGCCCCCAGAGGGGCTCCGCCGTCGCCGGCTCCCAGAGGGATCCCGCCTCAGCCGCCGCCGGCTCCAGTCCGGCCCGAGTCCGGCCCCCAGAGGGGCTCCGCCGTCGCCGGTCCTTAGTGTACGTTTTCTTTCAAGTAATTTCAAATATCTGTGAAATAATTAGATTATTTTCTCCTTTCTTTACAGTCAAAAGTCATAAAAAAATGATTTGTCCTTTATTTAAAAAAAAAAAAAGAAAAGAAAAAAATACAGACTTCTTTTCTCTCTGGACATTATTTTCAGTTTTTTCCTGTTGTTTCATGGTTCACATGTACATTAATACCTTTTTCTGTGATTCTACCAGATACTACCTGTCCAGGTAACTCACATCCACACATATCTGTACTGACACAGCTAACATTGTGCCTCATCTGAAACAGGCCTGATTATTGTCTGAAACAACCAAACAGTGTTTTTCAGGATTCCCTATATGTAGAATTGTGGATTTAGCAGAAGCATGAGCATCTCCTGAAGTCCTGTTTCCTGTCCACAGCTGGTTGTGTGTCTTCCTTCAGCAGCAGAAACAAGTTCACATGAATCAAACTATGAAAATCAAACAGCAGAGGTACGTTTTAAAACAGAACCTGATGGTAAATTATGTTGTGTGTTCTTGAAGACATCTGACAGATCAGCTGTTTGCCACCAAGTGGAGGCAAATAAAGACTGATAACTGAAAGAGAGTATTAAAAAAAATATTAAACTTAAGAAGTATTTATAGAAATTGACCTGTTTGTGGCATTTTTGGCCACAAGGAAGCTCTCTGTCAAATAAAAATTCACTAAACATCAAAGTTAGGTAGAGGGATGAATGATTTGATGAAGATCATGTGGGTCTATATATTTATTCTACAGTTTGGCTCATTCCTAACTCTATATACCTCCTACTAGCTCCTTTTTGTGAATATATCTATATATTCTTGTACTTTTACTTTGCATACTCTGTGTGACAGTAAAAGCATTCTGTTCTGTTCTATGATGTATATGATGTAGGACAGGCGTCAAAAGACAAAGAGCCACATTAAAAACCTTCTTTCTGTGGCTCTGACCTCTAAACGTTTCCTCCAGCATCTCTGACAAAAACAAAGAGTCCCAGCACGCGTTTGTTCTGAACCGTTTATTGAAGTCAAATGTATTTTCCACTAGGATAAAATCATATTACCAGTAAAGTAATGGGAGGAGGCGGCGCTGATAAGCATGCAACAACTAATGTTCACGAGACGAACCGTTTGCTTCAGATGTCGGGCGAGAAGCAAGCGGAGAAGACGGCCCACCGTCGGCGCCCTCTCTCCGTCACGGCCGTGTCACCGGCTTGTGCTGACACGAAGCAGAGAGCGGCGAACCGAACCACAGCGAAGCTAAATAAATAACCGACAAAAAAGTGCTACAGACTCCATTCAAGACTGAGAAAGAACAGGGCTTCATAATCGGGGGCAAACACAAGTCAACAATAAGAGCTAGAATACGTGGATTGTCATAGTTTGTTTTGTTTTTTACACTTCATATATCAATCTATCGATGGGATGGTGGTGCTGGATCGATGAGAGCATTTCAAGCAGTTTAATTTTCACATATATCCCTTTTACTAAGACATAAAAAAGGCCAGAGGTGGGAGGAGGGGTCGGGGGAGGGGAGGGGGAGGCCTCTGTTGCTTTTCAAACATCACATTCACTCACTCATTCATCTTCACACATCTTCCTCCTCTCACAGGATCTGCTATAGACTCTCTATAGAAACACGGCAGGAGGGTCGAACAGAACGTCTTCAGCGGCCTGACACATAGACAGCAGGTCAGAGGGACGAGGGCGTGGCGGTGTTCAGGAGAGGGCTAGTGGGGGAACGTAGGAATGCATATGATGGCTGTGTGTGTGTGTGTGTGTGTGTGTGTGTGCGCGTGCGTGTGTGTGTTTTGGCAAAAGGGCTGGTGTGCTTAGGCTGGCATGTAAGGGGGAGGCGGCTCCTTCTCTGGCATCTTCATGGCCATCTCGTAAGTGGGCAGGATGTACTGGAGGAGACAGAGAGAAGCATAGAAACAGGTCAGCGCTGCAGGACGAAGGAGTCTGGGTTCACGTCACAGTCGGGTTCTGTTGGGACAAAGTTTAGTCCACAATAGTTCTGATGTGATGCAGGAACTGATCTGCAGCACATCAGGAACGTCTTGTTGATTAGAGTTGAAACAGTCGATTAAAAGAAAATGAACTGACTTTGAAACGAGATTAAAAAGAAAAATGACAATTTAATGATACTAATTCTGAGCCCTTCAGAGGATTGAAGTTTAGTCACCGTGATCAAGGTCGTGTTCAGTTGAATTTAAACATATATGTGGTAAAAACCTCCTCCTGTTGTTCATCATGACTCTGACTGTACATAAATTCAGATGTCTTTCCTGACTCTTTCCTGACTCCTTCGTGTGCAGATGATCAGCCTGTAGGACTCTCAGCGTGTGGACAGTACGCCTCCTGCTGGCTGCACTTCAGCACTGCATACTTCACATCTTTGTACTAACAGTTCCTGCTCGTACCTGGGGAGGGGTCTCGAAGGCAGGGTACACGGCGATCTCTGGCATGTTCCTGTTGTTGATGTACTTGTAGCAGTTCCACACACAGTTGATCAAGTAGGCCTGGAAGGAAGAGAGAAGCCTGCGTTTGTACTTTTATGGCACTGTGACGGCGCCGTGGCCACTGTTTCCCATCGAACTGTCGGTAAATAATCGGAGGGGTTTGGAGGCACTCTGAGGGTGTAAATCAAACAGACGACCACACAGAAGCCCTTTCCAGATACGCAACAGTACCGTTTCATCGCTCTGTTAAAATGATTCTGTAACTCCATTCATGTTTCTCGTGGCTTCATTCAGACGTTATAACCACGACGCTGCACAGAGCCGTGGAGTTAGACATCAAGTGATCTCTAATGTGTGATAATGCAACAACAAACAAAAGATAAATCAAAACTAACAGCCAATAACAGCCATCCTGTGAAAACTCTGTCCATGTGTGACGATAATCTAACCACTACTGTGACCTGACTCGTCCCGTCTCATCGTGAGGAATAATTCATCGTTCCAATTAATGACGCTACTGGTGTTGCTCCATAAATGAGCACAACTTTTTCCCTGTGAAGACATTTATACTGCCGCTGTCTGATGCTGCAGGTATTTAGACTCCTACAAACAGCTGGAAGCAACAAACAGGCTGATGTTCGTTATGTCAGGAATCATTTAAAATTAACGTAGTTACCAGAAGGTGGATTCTGCTGCTGTCTGATGCTGCAGGTGTGTGTTCAGAGGAAGAACTCTAAAGTTTTTGGACAAATATTGGCGCTAAAATGACGAAAAAAATCCTCCCTTTGATCACTTCAGTTCAGATTGTTGATACAAAAAGGTCCGACCTAGTACGACCGCCAACACGTCTTTTATGGTTAAGTGACCACATTCAGACACGGATACGACGCATTCACTTGCCGTCGGATACACGGAAAAGAGTTTGGACGAACCCCACTTGACCGTGAATGATAGATTCACCTTGAGGATGATGAGGAAGGCGAAGAAAACCAGCACAAAGAGCAGCAGGCAGCTGGAGTTCAGAGACAGCAGGTTGTCTTTGTACGGGAAATCCGGCTGAGGAAGAAACAGAAACAGTGTTGGATGTTAGAAAAGCTTCTTCGCACCAGTTTGGCTCACATCACCATCAACACAATCAACAGGAGAACAAACTAAAACCCATTAGCTTCCAATCAGATGTGATGAAGCAACAGATTTAAATTTAAGATTTAGATTTAAAATATCCAACAGTCTGAGTCCACGACAGAATCAATGTGGTTCACTGAATCTGTCTACATGTGGAAGTTAGAACACAACTTATCTATGAAATCGTATTTGAAGGATGTCAAAATGAAACCAGTCAGCCTTGGTTATGACAAACAAGTGTTCTCTTAAAGGCTTTAAGTCAGTACGGCTGCTTCTGTAATGACGCCCTTTATATTACCGTAATGTCCGGACTATAAGCTGCTAACTGAACTACCGTAAATCCCGGACTATAAGGCGCTACTTTTTTCACACGCTTTGAACACTGCGGAATAAACAACGATGCGGCTAATTTATGGATTTTTACGAGTTTTAGGAATTTGCCTCGGGACAAAAGTGACACTGACAATGACAGACAGACTGAGGAAGTGTGTGACGAAGGAATTCTGAGGAAGGAGGAGGAAGATGAAGATAGCGATCAATGACTTTTCCTGGTACGCTGCTGGAGTTTTTATTTCCTTCACCAGCCGTGTTACAGGAACTGTTCAGAAAAAAGCATTTATTTGTGTATGTTACCGGTACGTATTTAATTAAAAGTTTAAAAAATCTTTCTGTGTAAATATCTCATGTTACGACACGGACACCTGCAGCTTATAGACAAGTGCAGCCTGTATATGTACACGTTTGTTTTTCTTTTTAAAGTGAGTGGGTGCGGCTTATATTCGGGTGCCTCAATAGTCCGGAATTTACAGTAATTTTATGGCAAATTTTTCCACTGCATAGTTTCCACAAAAGTTCTATAATAAATCTAGAAAGTAGTGCCCGTGGCATTTACACCTTCTCCTACTACATTTTACAGATGTTAAAATGGTAAATGACAGGTAGGAATCCAGAATCTGAATTTACTGCTTAGTAATGAGTGAACTATCTGTCATCTGTTCTTTAGGGACGAGTCAATGAGTGAGCAAAAGGGTTATTTAGGACACAAGTAAAATGTCGTAAAGATTCTCTGTGGTAAAGTCAATATGGGCTGGGTGCAGTCCGACTGAAATAATGTCAACAACAGGACTAGACTTTGGACTGACCAGCTGGTCCAGGTAGTCCCTGATCCTGGGCAGGTAGGTGAGGGAGCTGATGGCCACCAGGCAGCTCAGAGCAAAGTCAAACAACTGGTAGCAGAAAAACGGGATGAGCCAGCCGTCACGATGCTGAGGAGGAGAGATAAAGGTGGAGAAAAATGACTCATGTGGGCAGATCCGTTTTGATTCTGAAAGGACCACGACGCGTGTTTCAACCTTATCTTAGATCCACATTATTAACATCGTACAGACGAATGAGGAGCAACTCGTAGCCTCAGCAGCAAGTCGCTCCTTCTTCCTCCAAGTTTAAAACTGTGACTGCAGGTTTCTTGGTCGTGGGATTTAAAGCTTTTTTCCGACTGCTCGGGGCGTGACGTGAGATTTAGTTTGAGGTAAACGAAAAGAGCCGTCCTGCAGAAACAAGAACAGCTGACGTCACTGTGCATCTTTAATAATAGGTGCAGAGAGAAGGTTGAAAATCAGCAAAGTGGTCCTTTCGCTGAGTCACAAGGAACTTTACAGGCATTCTAAATGTTCTACTAGCAGCACAAAAACCTACTTCACTTCTTCCTACATCATTAGGTAAAGATTTTTTTCTTTCTTGTAATCATGGCTCAAACATTTAAGGGGACATAAAGGGGACACCTGCTACAGGCTACCTGCTACTTTTGTCTGGGAGCGTGCACAGTTAAAGCACGACTCTTGTGCAGGCTTCGGGCGTGCACGGCGTTCCCGGCCTGCAGATGTGTGTCATACTTTAACTGTGCAGTCATCCCAACTAGCAGCTGAGTGCAGGTCCACGTCAAAAGGCTATCAAACCTGTCAGTCCTGATGCCATGAGGCAGGCCTGTGAGGTAAAGACGACAGGCAGTGAGAACAAAACAGCACGTGCTACATCCGGATTCCTCTCTACATCCAGTTAAAAAAAAGAAAACAGGGAGGGATTTCTTGTTACTGTACTTACCTCCTAAGTCTGGTGCTGCTGTGATTATACAACTTGAAAGCTATGCATGGATAATGTGGGATTACATATTAGCATGCAAAACACTGACACTGCCTTAAATAGAGTGCATGCTGGGAAAAAGGCATCCTATCTTGTGGCACACTTACAGTAATGGCTCCATACACCATCATGGCACTGATGGTGAGCATCAGCAGAGAGATGGCGAATCCAACACACGCGTTTTCTGTATGAGAAACAAAAAAGAGAAGAAACATGCAGTCAAAGATTCACAATCTAACACCGTCTTTGGCCTGTATTGAGCGTAGATGAAAGGATATTTGCCTGTTCTCTTTGAGGCAGCAGCTTTGATTTGCATACAGTGTCAAGTGAACAGTCTCCAGGGCTTCTCTCTTTGCAGCTAACTCTGTCTTAAAGGCCAGCTCGGGGGAGCATTAAGCCTTTCAGCGTCGGTGAAGACACAATGAAACTCGGCCTGGGATAATTAAAAGGTCTGCCTTTCACATCCTCTTTTTCTCTACGTCTCTCAGTCTCTCGCCTCCTCCAATGTTCTGCCTGTTGCATTGGAGATGCTCGTGAGGGAGCGACTGCAGCAATGCGGTCCGGACGAAATCTTTTGTTATTCAGCAGCTCGGGCGGAATAACTCGTACACTGATGCATGAATCTGTCAGGAAACTGTCTGCTGCTCAAGAGGGGAAAAAACAACAACAGGGTGTACATTGGAGTTGATAAAAATCTCACTTTTGCTGTTTGTAAACTGCACATTTCAGTACTTGTGGATGTTTTTTCAGGTTTGAGGAAGGGCTCCGTGATATTACAAGGTTTTGTTTTTTCTGCAATATATAATCCAATATTTATAATAAGTCTATGTGGAGATAATTTATCATTCTAGAATTGATTCTGACTTTGGAGTGCAGAGAAATTTAGAAAGAAATTATTAAAAAACAAGGGAAGTAATGATTTTTTACTGTAAAGACTCTGCGTCCTCACAGTGAACTCTCTCTCATATGGTGCAGCACTGACACATCCATCCAAAGGGTTTTTTTTTTTTTGTTTTGCTGTGGATGGCATTCTGATCTGCCTTTGTACTCCTCACACAGCGCTTTGTGGTGCAGATTTATACAGTCAAACCAATTAGTTGTGTGGTGGCAACAGCAGCAAGACGTGGAAGTGCCTGTTTATGGTCAACATCAGTCTGTCTGTAGCCAAAATACTTCCATAGAAATGAGATCAAGATGAGTTCGTTTATCACGATTGTTGGTTGACTTCTGAGAAAAAATGTTTACTGGTTTCTCTTCCATCCCTCACACTTTACTTGGATGGCTGTAGAGCACAGAGGTCTGTTTCCCCACTCGGTTACTACAACTTAGACAGGTGTGTGACCTCAAATCACTTTGGAAAGATAAAAATCAACTCTGATGTCAAAACAACTGATTTCATCTGCTTTCTATAAGCAACATAAATATCACAGTTGATCATGTTGTTTACTGGTGAGAACCCAAAGTCATGATACTCTTTATTATGAAGCCCAAGAACAGTCGCTGCATTTCCGTTTCCCAACCAGATCTTCTTGTTCAGTCTCCTGTGCACGTGTGAAGTCAGCTTGTCAACAAACTGTCTTTTTTCTTAAAGAGAGCAACGACTTTGTTCCACCGTTAAGCCCTAAATTTGAGTAAATCATATTCTGTCAAACAGACTGATGAAAAATGACAACCATGCGAGTTTTCTTTTTGTGTCAAGCAGCACTTTCAGTTAGGTTACCACTTCCTGCATGATGACCTTTGTGCGTGTGCGCACTGCCAGACAGCTGATGCTAAAAAAGATAGATCACGCAGCTCTAGTCTAAAGAGTTTGTCAGTTTGTCGTTTTAATATGTGAATCTTGATAGGCAGGGTAAGATGTGTCAAAAATGTCAAATGTTAGTGATGTTGGAAACTATCCAGTCAGCTCTACTTCTACGTAGGAAGTCAGGTGATATTTGTGGCTTCAAATACGGTTTATTGTCACCATCAGTTATTTTATTAATGTAATGATTAAACATGTGGTCGATAAAATGTCAGAAAACAGTGGAAATTACCCCACAGCCCCATGTGGTGTTTACAAACAGAGTTTTATAAATTCTTCTGCTCAAAGTGGAAAGTTCCCCAAGATGTGTGACATCCCACCCAGCATGGAAACCAATCCGGGCTCAACGGGCGACTTAAGCAAAAGAGATGTGGAAAGTGACACCTGCACAGCACACACATGGAGAACAGACTTTCAGTGGTGTGTGATGCATCTCATATCCAGCTGTTTAAACATCATGAAAAATATATGCATATTTATAGATTTGGGGTTTTTAAAAAGGGAAGAGGACCGAGTGTAATGGGTGATTGAAATTAACCTGGTGGACCAACAACACGTGTGTTCAAAGTGGAGTGTTTTATACGTCTACCAGCGAGTCTGAAGACGGGCCGTCAACGACAAACACTTAGCAAGTGTTTTCTACCAGATACATAACATTTAAATATGACCTGGATTGTGAAATGAAACAAGTGCTGACTGATGAAGCAGCACTAACGGTCGGGAGTAACCACAGCTGCACCGGTTTGAATGTTGACATCGTCTCTGCAGACTATGGGCAACCTCCGCTGGCCCATGTGGTGGCGTGAGCCCGCTGTGGGAAGGTCAACCCACGCCAGTTTACTTCCCCTCCTCTCCCGCTGAGTCACCGTTTTAGAAAAACGAAGAGGCCTTCACCAAGCCAGCCAACAAAACAACCGCCAGCGAGACAAAAGCGGCACTCTGGTGGTCGTGCCAGCCCTGCCCCAGCACACACAATCACAAACACCGGGGATGAGCATAAATCCTCGAGGAAAAACAAAGTGGCACCACAACACAAAGTACATTTAGGACAACATGTAAACAACTCGGCGGTGGTCTGTTTACTTGGGAGTTGCTTTACAGTCAGTGGAGAGCAGATCTCCCTGTGCAAAGTGACCAACCAAAGAATAACAGGAGCTCAGGGGTTCATGAAACGGCAGGAAAACACTTCCTAATCCAATAAGGTGAATGTTTATTTACTGAAGTTTAATTGGGCAGGATACTAAAACCACAGGACAGAGAATATGATATTGCTCCTGACGTGTGGACGCTTAAGAAACTGAATGAAAATCAGTTTAGTTTTGCCATGAAATGATTCCCGTGTGGATTTGTTGCTTACCGGACATCCTGTCGGAGGCAAAGTAATGGTCAATGACCTCATACTGCAGGTCGATGGTGGGGACGTTCTCTGGGTGGGTCACAGCGACGGTCAGCAGGATGCCCATCAACAGGTTGACGACCTGAGCAAAGAAAACGAGAGGTGTTTAAAAACGACTCCACCAGCAGCACTGGAGAACACAGTGAGTGAACTTTTACATAACTGACAACCATTTTTGGAAAACGTTGTAGATTTAATTCCTACTTTCCACGCAGGCGTTGGTTTCACTTGAGGTATGAATTTCAACTTGCAGAGACTGAAATAGGCAACGGTACAGAGAACAATTCATCACCCTTTTTTGTTTTTGTTTTTTTTTTGGACAAGGTTACTTATCACAGTGTGGGAATGAAGATATGAGGAGGAATCGACCAAACACTCAAGGACACGCCAACATTTACGCTGACAGGCTCTGCAGTCACAAGACACAGTACACAAATAAATGATAATATCAGAAGACAAACAAGCAAAAGGTAACAAAACGATAATAAACTGAAACCACTGAAAGAAAATCCTGTTACTACACTCTGGTAAAGACAAGGACAGGGTCGTAAAACTGATGCAGTCTGAAGTTAATCAGATATACGAAGGTTAACTGGATTTAAACAAGAAAATAACTCTTGAGAAGTGACAATAAAACTAGTGCAAAAAATCCTAAAAGAAAGATGAAACAAGATCTAATACTTTGTCATGTCTTGACAGTACAAAACTACAACTGCTGCAACAAATGTGTTTTCATCTTGGCTGGACTTAACAGGAGCAACTTGTTTCCAGCTGTTTATTTGAGCGTATTGAGCCAAATTTAAGAAGGAAAGACTGAGGAAAGCAGACGAGAAGACTACTGACTAGGTGACAACATTTACAGCCCACATAATGTTATCGCTCAAAAAGCAGCACAAGCACAGACAGCTCTGAAAGGATGCAGCCTTACCTGCATGACCGTCTCATAAAGTTTAACTAATTGATCTTTTATCAGCCGAGTTGTGGTTTAACTTTCTTAGAAGCTGATACAAGTGCAACTAAGACGTCTTTAAATTTTTCACGATTGTTCTTTCACATTAAATAAACCAACAACCACGAGCAAAAACAAATATTTCAGAATATATATCCCTGAAATGACAAAAAGATGAAAAGTTATTTCACCAAGCAATGTTAAGATTTGAGAAATCTTCTTATTGGTGATAGCATCTTATTATTTAGGCCCTCTGTACATGAAAACAAGGTTCAAAGGTGGGTTTAAAATGCATGTTAGCTGTAAACCAATCCAACATTTCTATCTGTAAAAACAGGATGAATCAGCCGAGTTTCAACAGCGTTTGAACTACTTAGCGGTAATGTGCAGTTCTGTCAGGAAAATTAACTCAATCTAAACCTAAAGTCGGGATATTTTAACACAACCACATTGTTCTACTTCCATCCATTATCCATCTATACACTGCTTAATCCTCACTAGGGTCATGGGGGGCTGGAGTCTATCCCAGCTGACTCAGGGTGAAGGCAGGTTCACCTGGACAGGTAACCAGTCTACCACAGACAACCAAGCAAGCTGACAATTTAGAATCACCAATTAACCTCAGCATGTTTCTGGACTGTGGGAGGAAGCCGGAGAACCCGGAGAGAACCCACGCTGCACGGGGAGAACATGGAGACTCCACGCAGAAAGATCCCGGGTGTCCTCACCTGGACGCGAACCTGTGACTTTCTAGCTGCGAGGCAACGGTGCTAACCACCGAGCCACAACATTAAATTGTTTGATGTAACCTGAAAAGAAAAATAAGTTTGGGAACTCTTCCGTGTCACCATGAAAACATCAGTGACTCCACTGTAACCAACATTCATGATACAAAAATTCAGGTTTTGGCTGAACTGCAGGCCGTGTTTACACAGATAGAAGACAAGCATGCACACTAATTTATAAAAGAAGCATTTCTTGCTGTATTGGCAGCACCTGTGATCACATGGAAAAATGGTGTTGACTCCATGTTTTTTTTTTTTTTTTTAGAAATTTCATTTTTGTGCTTTCTTTCTCTATGAAGCTTTGCATTATCTCTACATCACAATGCACACGTGGCGTTTTTGAGTTCTCTATGCTTCTAGACATAGTTGTGCTGTTTCTATAGAGGTGCAAGACTTCATATGGCTGGAAGAAATGAGGCCTCAGTAAGTAAAAAGAAAGTGACAGGAGCAAAAAAATAAATAAAATCGCTCAGAAACTACTTGAGGTTTAGAAGCCTTAAGTTTTAAATCCGCTGAGCCTCTTTGAATCGTTCTGTCAGCAAAACAGAGCCTAAACACACACACACAACAGATCCATGCTGCAACATACATCAAACTACAAGCTTCTTCTTAGTGTGTTAGTATTTACGTCCAGAGCCCGGCCTCCTGGCAGCTGTTTCAGACAGTTTGAAAATGCAACTCGGGAAGATTTGCTCAAGTGTTTCAATGAATCAGGGACTGTCGTAAAAAAAACAAAAAAAACAAGGGAGGATTTAGAAATGCAACCGAAACCTGCAACATCTGCTCTGTGATGTGGGGAAACGAGAAGGGGATTAACTGAGATTTAACGCTGCAAGTCCGGAGTGCTGCAGGGACAGAATGTGCAGAGGACGGCGGCGGCTAGCAAACACGCAGCTACCGTTAGCCACAGCAGCCTGCCTGTCAAACACAGTCTCTGGATTTATTTTTTATTACTCTAAACCACTTTAATATATTTATTAGCATAACCTAAAAGACACGATGTAGCACCAGCAGCAAGTGAACCCGTGTCATGTCTGACATCGTGGAATCCGTTATATTAGCAAGTTAGCCGAGTGTCGGCCACAAACATAAATCAGACATAAAACACCCCCAAATCAGCTGCTGTTAACTTAAAGACAGCCACTACCCCAGCAAAGGTTTTCTAATTACATTTTCAAAGTTGTAAGTTGACCAGACGGAGAGCTAGTTAGCCAAACCCGATGTGATAGCAGGCTAACGCTAGCATCAAGCACGACAAGTAACGGCTTTTTGAAAAGTCAAAAGTAGCGTTTAGCTCGTATTTTAGTCGCTGCCAACAAACACAACGCGTTTTAATTTCCCATTAATACTGTCTGGACGGAATTCATCGTGTGACTTGTTACTTTAGCGGACTTGACACAATTGCCTAACACAGCTAGCTACCGTTAGCTCGCTGACCTCCATCGAGTACCATCTTACGCACCATGTACCATGTCCCCAGGATGATGGTCCCCGTCCGGACATGGCAACACCCGCAACACCTGGTGGTGTACAGTCTGTCTCGACTGGGCTTAAAATGATGCATGTCCTCTACGAGCGTAGGGAGAAACATCGGGAGAGCTGGTCGTGGAGGAGAAAAAACCGTCTCGGCATCAACAGTCAAGAGAAAGAAGACGGAGAAACGCCCACCACTTCCCCCGAAGAGCTGCGCACACCGCGGATAAAAACAAAAGCTCTGACGGGGAGGAAGGGGCGGAGACCCGAGGTTTGACTGACAGCAGCGGGAACCAATGACCGCGAAGAATTGAAACAGCGACCCAATAGGATTCAATCTACCCCCTGATTTATTCAAATTTATTCAATAATTATCTTACCAGCAAAATAATCTATAATATATATAAAAACTACCATTTTCATGTGCGATATTTAACCCTATTCAGGACTTTTGGGGTCTTTTGGACCCCAGGCCATTTGGTTTAGGTGACAGGTATTATTTTTTGTTTTTTTTGAAGATTTTTAAAAATATAAACAGAGGAACATGTGTCATGCATTTAGAAGCAAAAATATGTCAACTTATCAGAAAATTTATTTAACATAGTATAAAAGTCATCATGAATACCAACACATATTTTCCAGTGGACCCTAATAAAGACCTTCTACTTATGGCAATATGAAAGTCCTGAATAGGGTCAATTATCATGAGTAATATTACTGAACTACTTCAGAATGCCAGTATTACGTCTTCCTTTTCTATTGTAGTCTTATTTTAGCTGAATTATCTTTATTTTTTAGTAATGTATCGTACCTAAGTCTTATTACTTTTCTATTAGGCTCCCCAATCATTCTCATATGAAATGCAGAAGAATTTTCTGCAATTTCAATAAAGTTCTATCTTATCTTATCCTAACTTGGCAAAGTGTTCAGTTCCTTTGGGGCTAAAAAGATAATCATCATTCATGGAACTACAATTAGGATCAGTTTTATTTGGGAATACAACACCACCATTATGTATAGCACCACTAAAGTATACTCACCCAAAATATAAATGTGACATTTCATTCAATTCTATGCGTTCTTTTTAACATAGGGAAATAAGCATATGTTGCTCCAGCAAACTGCATCTCTATAACAGAATGGATGTCATAAAAACAAGTCTGCACTGTGTCGTAAACGTTAATGGGCAGATTACGAGTCGGGTCAAGGACAGAGTCAGAAACAAGTGAGTCCACCATTTGCATTCCGTGGTGTCACACAACTGAGCTGATGAGGTTGTTGATGCTGGCTTTTGAAATCTCGTCCAACAAAGGACATGGAGGAGTGTCTGGTTATGCTGTCATTGTCTTTTAAAGCCACACCTGACTGGGATTAACTCAGCAGCTGAGAATATGTCAGCTCAAAACCTTTGTGTGCACAGTTGGCTAATTTAAACCTTTTCTTAATCAGAACACCAGATTTTTAAATTTTTCCCTTAAAGCAGAAAGGGAGACCCGTCTGGAATTATATTGTGCTTGTATGGTGCAGTTTACAGAATGCCAGGACTTGGGCCCTGCTCCTCCGATCACTTTGACTGCTCCTCCTCTGTTCTGATCCTTCACTGATGTATAGCAGCACCTCGCCTCTGCTCTCTGATCAGCTCGCACCAGTTATCACAGCATCTGCTTAGAAGTTTCAGAAAGCCGTCAGTCGGCGGTAATTAGGTCTTAGCGTCTTTGCTTTGTCTGTGATTCTTAAACCTTGTTCATTGCAGAGTAGTTTGTACACAAGAGACGCTCATTTTATCACCAGAAATGTAAAAACACACAAAGATAAGATAGAACCTTATTAGTCCTGAAAATCTACATTAAATTACTTTCGGTTTCATTCTGAACTGCAATCACCTGGTTGTTTTCGTGTTACTTTTCTTGATAAGCTGGGACGCCACATTGTGCTTCACTGTAGGTCCAAACAGTCCCTGACAAAACACTGCCGTACTGATCCATCGAATCTATACAACAGACACCATGCAGCATGCACAGATAACCTCTGGGTGTCATAGGCAAGCAAAAACAGACTGTAAATACTGCACATAAACTGTCACATCAAGCAAAGAAGAAGAAAAAAACAGATTAAATTGATACAAAGCTCTTTTATTAACAATTATGGAATACAAAAATATACGCGCATATATAGGCGACATAACGTGTTAGCAGCCATTACCTAATCCGCCGTTCACATTCAATATACAGACTCAAAAGCACTTCTCCTATTGTCTTTATCTCATAAAGCATGGATTATTTCGATAACTGTGAGAGGAAACAGCGCTGAAGTTTCCCCGCTTTGCACATTTCAGAAAGGCAGTTACACATAAATGCAGTTTAGAAACAGCCCTGCTTGTTCAACACGCAGGACATGCTACATACATCATGACTGGTAGAAAAAGCACTTCTAAAGGCATTAACAATGATTCTGATCTGCTCCAGTGTCCCTGTGACAGAGAGCCAACATATACACAAATCTGGGAACTGAAGCAGCAGCTAAATGCAATTAATTCGCCCCTTAACGTCGTTATTTACACCAGTGCTTCTCCCTCTGCAAGATGTCAGAATGTTGTTGGTGAAAAAGGCCCGTCGAGCATCTTCTGTCGGCGCCCACGCAGTCCTGAGAGGAGGCCAAAGAATCGAAAGCACTTGTGGGAGTGTTTGTTGGATGACTAGGGCCTTTGGGAATTTGTTGTTGTTGTCTGCTCAGTTTAAAGGTAGTTTCGTTTATTTAAATGCTACAACAAGGTGTGCATGGAAGCAACAAAAGCTGCCACTTTAAAACGGTTACACAGCAAAGTACATATTGATAATCAACCCATCGAATATTGCATTTGTTCAATTATCAACACTGAAGTCAGATTAGTGCACCATTCAGATGCTAAATTTAAACATAACATTTAGTCATTATTCCCACAATCCTCAGTGCCGTGTGTGTTTATAGGTGTGTGTGTGTGTGTGTGTGTGTGTGTGTGTATAGGTGTGTGTAAATGTAAATATGTAAGGTGGGAGGGACGGGTTTCTTCTTTTTAATGTTTTCATCGGTTGTAAAGCACTTTGTATTGCTTTCTTTGTATGAAAAGTGCTACACAAATAAAGTTTGATTGATTGACATTCTGGAAGATTACTGCTAGAAATACATTTCCACGAAGCTACGTGTGATGATAGCAACGCCCCACATCTCCTAAAGCACAGAGAGGCTACAGCTCCCCCGCGTCCATGGAAACGATCTCAGGTCAGCGAATGAAAGCGATTCTTTACACTTCATGTTAAATATAAATAAATTATCAATGTACAACAACAGATGCATGATGAGAGAGCGCCTTCACGGCAGCTCTCCAGCTACACAAACTGGCCCAGTGGCACCAGCCTAGAAAACAAACGCCGGTCTGACAGTTAAATAACAACTGCGTCCCTTATGGGTTTGTGGTAATCTTCGTCCGACTCCCGTCGCCGACCCAGAATGTGTCCCTCCCCGTCTTTCTTCTGCCGTTTGTAGATTAACATGGCTGACAGTGCAGCTGCGATGATGGCTCCCGTGACTCCCGCTGCAATAACCGCTGTGGACACAAGAATAAGTGACTGAGCCGTGAAAACAAACTCAGCTTTGTCCACATCGGTGTGCAAAGTACCTGCTAAGATGTCTTCGTTCTCCCAGAACCGTTTGCTGCTCGCCATGATAACGAATCCAGATTCGTCGTCTCCCGCGGGCCAGGCTGTGCCGTCAAAGGTCAGGTCTGAAGAACTCTGCAGCAAAAGAAGCAGCAGTTACGTAAGTTTGTTTCTCGCTCCGCCACCTACAAGTCATGAAACAGCGAAACACATGAAAAGAGACGTACGTGGAGAGTATTCCTGCTTCCACCTCCTGACTTCAATAATTTGCCTTCATGGCTGCTGGGCTGAACCTTGATGTCTTCATCTGGTGGGATTGCAGTTAGAGAGGATTTAGAAAAACAAAGAGATGCGACAGGAAGTGGATTAAAAACATTCAACAGGTGCTCAACTCACCCTGCTCCGACCCATCTCCTGATCCAGAACCAGAACCGTCCAGGTCGTATCCGGATCCCTCCCAGTCCTCTGGAAGGGCAGAATGCTGATTTCATGGAGAAAAAATGATATTTAAAGATCCTGCTTCCTGCTCTGTTGTCAGACATTTAAAAACACACAGGAGGTGAAGGAAGCTGATGGAGGTGCTTTTCCTTTAAGAGGGCAATAAAGAAACGAATCATGCCAAAGATACAAAGTCCCCCTGAAACAACACGCCGAGGATAATAAACGCATCATGAAGCAAGCAGTCACATTATTGTCACCAATAAAGTGTGGTGAGGAGAGAACATTGTGGTGATAACACTCCACCCAGTTCGCTGGTAAACACACTTAAACATACAAGCTTTAATTAGAGCAGAAATCCTCTTAAGATTAAATATCTAATAAGTGAACTAATTACCTCACATGAGTGCAAAAAAATAAATAAATCTCTCATCCTGTGATGAACTAATGTAACCTGATAAAAGCCCCATAAATGATCGAAACATGTCGAACCAAACCAGCAACAAAGCAAGATAACCAATTAAGTTCTGCTAACGAGCGCTCACAATTTGTGCAGTTTTGCAGTATTTATATGACTACTGTCCTAGATTTCAGGACGCTCCACCACGTCATCGTTTCTGCAGATTAAGTGCTTGCATGGAAAAGTGTCGACTTCAGAATTTCACAGTGAGTCACCAAAACACGGCTCGAACCTCAGAATTTCACTTTTAATTCTGCCGAAACCCCCGACCTCCACCAGAACTGAAACTCATCATTAAAGCATGAAGAATGTGAAATGTGCAGGTATTAAAATGATGCAAAACAAATCTCGAGCATCGTGTTTTTTATGGTATAAGAAGGCATCAGTTTGGTTTGAAACCTGCTTGTTTCCTGGAATCAATATCAACATAAAATTCTCTTAATTTGAGATTTAAAGTCAAAAGAGAGATAAAAAAAGTTTTATTAGTGGATAAAACTATTTTTAATGTAAGAAAATACTCTAATAAAGTACTTTGAGGTATTTCTACTGTTTTTATTTCTCTGCTTTGAAGCAATTAATGTAATTATACCATCTGTTCTAAACTACCTGTGCATTCATTAACCCCGTCTGCACTTTCATTCACCTCATAATTCATTTCTTTTCCATTTCTTTGCACTCTTTATCTCTTACGTGCTTTAATTATTATTTTTTAACCCTGCTATTACCTTCATCTTTTATCCTTGGCATCAGCAATTTAAACCTGCAGAAAATGATCATAATTAAAATTGTTTATGTTGTGGAAATTCTGGTTTAATTGTTTTTCTGAAAATCTGTTCACACTTTATCCATCTTGTCTGTATTGTTTAGGATTAATTTGATTTAAATAATTACATTTTTTGATGCAATTTCTTCCCATCTGTCTTTCAGCTTTTTGTTTTTATAATTTTTAATTTTATAAATTTGCCCGTAAAACGTTTCTTACGACCTCTGTGTAGGACAAGGTGCAACATAAATACTGTTCTTTCCAACACTACAGCCAACAATAGAAATTATAGTGCTGGATATGTCACACAATAGTGTTTTTAAATGACATGTAATTAAGCAACTTTAACATGAAAGTCAGCAGCTCTCATTACTGTGTTCAGTTTTCTGCAAACAGCACTTTGTGTGAACCTGAGGAGGGAAAATAATCCCAGTGACTCCACCTGTAGTGGGTGTTTTTAAATCCACGGCTGACATCCACGAGCCGGTTCTGTCACTTAGATTTAACAAAGTGGAATTAAACACAAATCAAACCCTTAGAATAAAAATCAATAAATCACGCAGCCTGTGCTGGTCGGCTGGACCAGGGTGTGATCAGGAAGTGAGAAAGGTGAGCGTGAGACCGACGTCACGTCTCCTTTTCTTTAAAACCCTAAAACGACGTAACTCACCGACCGAGTGACGGCAGGAATCAGACCCACGCACAGAAACACGGCGGCGGCCACAGATCCCCGCATGGTGCCGTCGCCTCGCTCCGCTTCTCCTTCTTCTTCTTCTTCTTCTTCTTCTTCTTCTTCTTCTTCAGCTCTGTGTGTGTTGATTGAACCTCGAGCCTCGGCCGGTTAAGCCCCGCCCTCCAATAAATGTGGAGACACAGCTGATAACAGGTAACATCCTCGGCGGTGCTGAACATGAGGCTCGGGGCCCCGTAAAGGGACGCAAAATGATTGTTTTGGTGGACATGAGGAGGGAAGGATTAATCAATCCCATAATGTAGCTCTGTTAGTCTTTATAAGTTTTAGGTACAATTCTACACTTGACAGTCCAACTGGGTACTTTTCGGCTTGCATATATAATTCATAAAACAAAATAGTTGGTACCCTTCGGTTAATCAAAGAAAAACCCACAACCGTCACAGAAATAACTTGAATCTGACAAAAGTAATAATAAATAAAAATTAAACGAAAATTAAACAATGAAAATCAGACATTGCTTTTGAATCGTGGTTCAACAGAATTGTTTAAAAAAGAAAAAAACAGAATAAAAAATAAGCCTTAATTAACACGGAAATAACGCGTTCAAGTCCCGCCCCTAATATACTTTAAAGCGTTAATTATGATTAATTAATTACAACAAGAATAACGCGTTAATCGCAGTTTGCATCCAGGCAACAGCGTTTGTCAGCGCCTGATTTCATGGTCCACCCATCACATGATGCACGAGATGCGTCAGCGCTACGCTAACAACGACAAACATGGAGGAATCCGAGGGGGGGCAAGTTTCATTTTAAAAACTGCCCGATGGAAGCGTGGTTTTGTGCAACTTGTGCAATTTGCATCCCACTGAAGCACACCGAGCTGACGGTACCACCCAAATGCAAAGCGTGTTGCAGCGAGCACAGAAACCGCCGGCGCCGTTAGCGCTAGCAGTCCTGGATAGCGACCAATTTATTTTCAATGCCTTATTTTTGTTGTAATTAATTAATTGTAACGTGTTAAAGTCCCACCCCTGATATCTATCTATCTGTCTATCGTTTCGGTCTGGAGCAGGTGGATAATACATCTCACTGCCCGTCACATGATGTGTAATTGTGTTTGTGCAATAAAGGCCTTGTATCTTTGTGTCCTACAGTGTGGGTACATTGTGCAACGTGTCTTTATTAGATCATCGTTCTTATGTCTTGTTTCTTAACAGCAGTTTTATCAGTGAGGGATCTTTATCTTGTTCTTATCTATCGTTTTCTGTGGGACAGTTTCACCACTGAGGACCTTTAAAAGCAGTCGGAGGCATAAAAATCCCCCATTTATGTGGAAGTTAAGAGTGTTCTAACATATTATTAAAAAACTAATTTTAAAGAATGCGTCTATTTATAGCATCTTGATATTTTGAGTGTGTGCTGGTTTTGTTGTTTTTCTTGCATTTAATTTGCATGAAAATGGATCTACAAATACAGATATCATTGATTTATAACTGAAAATACCTACAGTAAACTAGAAGTTCACTTTTTTTTTCACACTACATGCAACATTAAAGTTTTGCAGCACACATACGTTATTAAAATATTTTGAGGTTTAAAAATGTAATATTGTGTGCAACTGTGTAAACTTCATTATTTATTTATTTGCAGGGGATAAACCTCAAAACCGATTCAAACGTGTAAACAAACAGTCTTATTTTTGCCATTCTAGGGCACAGATCACAGCATTAGTTTCTGAAAATGACGAATTACAGCAAAGCAAACGCTGGAAAAACCACAACAATGCAGGTCAAATGTTAGAAGAACAGTTTAATCATACATAGTCACAATTCTGCTTCCAAAAATGAGTTTGTTTTCTTCATCTAACATCTGGAAATGTACATAAGGCCACCTGAAAATGTACATGACTTTGACAGTGTGACAAAACTCATATGTTCATATTTATATAATTGACAATATTTTACATTGCTTTTGCTTACAAGGTAGTAGCTGTTCCAAAATACAGCACTCTTCTGTACAAAAATAATTCTTGTCATATCCTGTGAAGTTTCCATGGTAGCAGAGAGGACTAAATGCAGCCTCGGTTTTTAGTACAGAGTGTTTCTTTTTCTTTTTAAACTGTCACACATCAGAAAGACTATCAACAGTGGATGTTACAGCTTCGGTACAAATAGAGGCTGGCCTTTCCCATAACAGATTAAAAACAAAAACCATGCCAGATTGTGAAGCCATAAAGTTGCTGTTTTGTTTTTTTCTTCTTCTTTAAAATAACACTTGTTCAAATAAAACTGTATACATTATATTCAAGGGGAAAGGAGTGATGAATATACACACATCTAAATGCACATTTTTGCCTTTTTCTCCCCAAAAAGTGTAAAAGACATCCCATTTACAGCATAAACGTTTACAAATGTACAACTGTACAGACGAAATAAAAGCATCACTACAAATTTAGAGCAAGGCCTGTCAAACACCACGACTAGACGTACTTTTTGTTTTGTTTTTCAGTTAAACTAATAATCTTACACTTATTAACTGCACATATACTACATGTATTCTACAATTCATATGAAGCAAAGAAGCCATCACTACAAGCATTACAGGTGAATTGTATAGCTTCTGATGGCCCCACCGGCCTCCACCAAATGCACTTGCATACCCAATCAAATGAAAAAAGAAAAATTAAAAAAACAAAAACAGAACCATTAAAAAAAAAAAAAGAAAAAGGAAAAAAAAAGGTTCTTTCAACATCCCTTTCTTCGACTTATCCCGCTAGCTCTGGCTCGCGTCACCTCACACGAACAAAGCCGGGATAAACTCCACTTCACAACATTATTTTCTTTTTATTTTCTTTTGGACTGCTCTGACCGTTAGGCGGTGGGGGTCCCATCATCGCTGCAAGCCCCCCGACCCAAAAGCAACAATTTACTCGTACATAAAGATGCTATACATCGCTAAGCTACTTCTACACAAGAGATGATTATTTAGTACATAAAGATTCCGTTTCCTAGGGCAGTGTTCATCTCAAACTACAAGACAGATAAGATGTTACACAAAAAACATGTTAAAGAAAAAAATCATTCCAAGGATTAAAACCTGTCACAGCATGCCAACGCATACCCCCCGCTCCCTCCCCCACAAAAAACCCCCTCCCCACCCCCGCTATGGTCATTTAAGATTAAACCAGGTCACACGCCCGCTGTACAACCAAACCTCATGCTCTGTAAGTTAACGGTAGCTGTTTTCCTTCCCCTTCCCCCGAGTGACCACCTGGATGAGGGGAAAAAGTAAGACGGCTCAGATGGGGCTCGGTGCCCGTCTGTAGTAGTTAGTACCGACGCACCGGGCAGACTGCAAGCTGCTGGGGTAAACACACGCTCCCACCCAGTGAGGAGGAGGCGGCAAGAAAAAAAAAGCCACTGCTGGAAAACACTACCCGAGACTAAAGCACCAATCCCCAAAGCCAAGCTCGCAATCCGGTCTCCAAGACCTCTGGGTGGCACATCGTACTCGCCTGTGGACGGACGGAGGGGCTCGTATCCATCCATACTACGCAGTGCTATTGGAAAACTAATCCATCAGTTGCTTTGGCATGGGAAAAAAACACTTTGACTGTGTGCGTGGGAGGATATACAAATATAATATTCAATTGCCTAGACTTAATTAGAACAGCTGACATAATAAGTCCGGTTACAAAAACAAAATGGAATCGTCTTTTAAAAGGATCACTCAGTTTAGCCTTATAAAGTCACTTGCTGGTGTTAATTGTAAGAATTGTAAATTTCAGCAAATGTGTAATAAGTTTGTTTTTTTTTTCTACAGAGAATTTACAAGGTAAAAAACTAAATGTACAAGATAATATGAAAACCAGTCAAATACATCAATTACATCATTAACAATGGGCTTGTGCTTTACCCAGGAAAAACAAAAAAAAGAGAGAAATCAAAACAGAAAACAAACAAACAAAAAAAAGGAACAGCCTGCTGACTGTGCGCCCCCTGGGGGCCACGCTGGGGACCTGCACCGGGGGTGGCAGAGTGGCAGGGGTCAGTTGTCACAGCGTTCTTAGGTGAAGTTGACTTGTCTTTTTTCTTTTTTTTGGTAATTCCCCCCCAAAAAATGTGATGACAGAGTGTCAAAAGGCTAACCCCTATGGCTAAGGAGCATCTCTCACAGAACAGGGGGGTTTGGGGCTCCTCCTCCTCATCCTCCTCCTCGTCTTCTTCTTCTTCTTCAGGGGACCCAGGACGTCAACGCGACTACATGAGGCCGTTCGTGGGACCGCCGATGGGACCCAGTTCTGATCCACTCTTCATGTAGTACTTTTCTAGCTTGGCCAGAATGTGCTTCCCGTAGGTGTACTTGCGCAGAGTGGCGATGTGAGGCCGGATCTAAGAGGGAAGAGCAGGTAGAAGGTCAGCAGCAGCAAACGACTGATGGAAGGACAAACAAACAAAAAAAAAAAGACATGTCTGCACTCAAAATAATTTAACTAACCAAACTTTAATTTAAGTTAACAAAGAAAGTAACCGGGGAATATAAAAGACTTCCACAACCAGGTGATGCAACAAAAGGACAATTTTTCCCCTTTTTTTCTTTAACAATGACTAAATCAAGTTTTTGGTGGGAAGCGCGAACAAATGAGAAACGTCTGGAGTCCTGTGTGGACCTCAGTGTGGTGCCAGTGTTGTTCGGTAAATGTATGCAGTGACGTATGGCGTACGGGTCTGACTTTGCTCTTTGCTGACAGAAAAGCAACCAGTTCTTTGGAGGCGCCAGACTGGAACCAACTAAGCACTGGAACCAGCACCGGCATGGAACTGGCACCTGGTTCTTTTTGGTAGAAAAGGGGTATGAGAGTGGACGCCAACGTAAGAAGCTTTGCAGGAAACTAGGATTGTCCACCAACATACGCTGGTGATAAGTTCATCGTTTGCAGCAACACGACGAAACACACGCAGGCTCACACTGGTAGCAGCTTACTACAGTGTGTTTACATTACGATGCTACAACTTTCCAGAGGTATACAACTACTAACTATTAGAATTTATGTATTTCTCAAACACATCTTTCTGGATTATTTTGTCATGTGAACATCAACACAGCAGGTGACCT